AACCATGACAGGCCTTGGCAGTCAGCCTTCAAGAAGCCCTGGAGGGGGTTCAGGGAAATCTGTTATAGGATTGCTGAGTTGCCTCAGATGATTTATAATGGAGTTCAGTTGCCTTCAAGCTGAAACTTTTGAGTTCTTCATTTAGTCTTATTGATCCCACTGCCTACAACATTCCCCTGCCTCCACTGTGCCTGGATCCCACAAACAACAGGGCAGGCACCCTGGTCAAGGCAGGCAGTGCCTTATCAGAAGCACACACTGGCCTCAGCTGTTCTTGGAATGTAAAATTTTTACATTCCTGGCTTAGAGATTCAGCATGGCCCTGCCATAGCTGTTGTAGCCATTTGGGGTGTGAACCAGGAGATGGAAGATCGCTGGCACTTGCTTTCTCTGTCTTCCTCCTTCTCTATGAAGAAACATTTTGCTGCATAACAGCGGCTTCAGATTCCAACTGTGTGTTAGTTCTAAGAGGTTGTGATACTCAGCTGCAGAGTGCTCTGAATCACTGTGTTTAGGGTCAGGGATTGAGAATATGAAGGAAATTGCAGATTGTCTCTCCTCTTTTCCTGCAGTGTGTACATAGGCAAATGCTGCATTTATGGACTTCAGGAAGGTGTTCTGTGACACTGGGTTAGGGAACCCTGGCTGGGTACCAGCCCTGAGCAGTGCTGGTGGTACTGACCACAGAGCCACACTCAGGGCACAAGGCTGTAGGGAGGAGCCAGCCCACTTGTCTTGGCCTCCAGATGATTCACGGCTTGACTTGAAATGCCTCTGGGAGACTGCAGCTTATTCTTTTGACCCATTTGGAGTTTGGTTTTCTTTTCTTTCAATACACACATAAAATTGTTACTGCAAAATCATTTTCTTGGCATTGAATGATAATTTGTAATGGAATCATATTATATATTTCTTTTACAATTAAGTACTTGGAACTTGGAAGCATTTTTATGTCCTCTGATAAACTGGTAAATTAATTCTATCTACCTTAGATTATTAACTGCCTTTAATTTTTTTTTAAGATTTTTTTTTATATAAAAGGCAAAGGAAGACAAAGAAGAAGGGAGAAAGGAGAGAGAGCGAGAGAAAGATTGTTCTGTCCCCTAATTGATTCCCAAGGGCTAGGCCAGGTTAGGCTCAACTCAACAGCTTCATCCGGATCTCTCGCAGTACTGAAGAGCTGGATTGGCAGTAAAGCCAGTGAGACTGAAACCAGTTCATGTACAAGCTTATAGCAGTTATTCTCAGCTTTTTAAATTTGTGTTTATTTTTCAAAAATTTAGTTGAAGGGCTGAGTGACAGAGAATAAGATCTTCCATCCACTGGTTCTCTCCCCAGATGTTTGTAAGGACCACAGCTAGGCTATGCCAAAGCCAGGAGCCTGGAACTCCATCTGGATCTCACCCACGCGTGGCAGGGGTCCAAGCATTCAGGCCGTGTTCTGCTGTCTTCCAGGGCACACTAGCAGGGAGTTGAATCAGAAGAGTAGTAGCTGGGATGGAGGTGGACTGAAAGAAAGGAATGCTGGTGTTGTAAACTGCAGTTTAACCCACTTCACTGCAGTTCTGGTACCTCTGCCTATTTCTTTCCAATGTCATGATATTCACCTTTTGCCCATTCTAGAATATCTGTTTTTCAGTACAGCGGTGTTTTGTTAATCACCATTACATCCTATAAAAAAGTGATTTCTTTTTTATGCTGCATAGAAAAAATGGTTACTTCTGTTTGTGTGTGTTACCACATAAGATGATCATTTTTATTTTTATTGGATTGACAGATATACACAGAGGAGAGACAGAGAGGAAGATCTTCCATCTGATGATTCACTCCCCAAGTGGCCACAATGGCCAGAGCTGAGCCAATCTGAATCCAGGAGCCAGGAGCCTCCTCTGGGACTCCCAAGTGGGTGCAGGGTTGCAAGGCTTTGGGTCGTCCTCGACTGCTTTCTCAGGCCACAAGCAGGGAGCTGGATGGGAAGCAGGACTGCTGGAATTAGAACTGGCACCCGTATGAGATCCCAGCACATGCAATGCGAGAACTTTAGCCACTAGACTACTGCAAGATGATAATTTTTAAAAGGGTAATCAAGGTTCTTCACCTGTGTCAAGGATTTTATTTAATTCATGTAAGAATCTGTAGCCAAAAATCTTAACAGACACACATGTGGATTGTCAAAAAGTTTATGGAACCATGAATTTAATTTTTTTGTTGTTGTTCAAAATAAATGTATCATGGGCCTGGTGCAGTGATCTAGTGACTAAATCCTTGTCTTGCATGCGTCTGTATCCCATATAGGCGCAGTTCAAGTTCTGGCTGCTCCACTTCCCATCCAGCTCCCTGCTTGTGGCCTGGGAAAGCAGTCGAGGATAGCCCCAAAGCCTTGGGACCCTGCACCCACATGGGAGACCCAGAGAAGGCTCCGAGCTTCAGATCAGCTTAGCTGCAGCTATTGCAGCCACTTGGAGAGTGAACCAGTGGATGGAAGATCTTTCTCTCTGTCTCTTTCTATCTTTGTAAATCTGACTTTCTAATAAAAATAAATCTTTTAAAAAGTAAGTAAATAGGGCCCAGCACGATAGCATAGCAGCTGAAGTCCTAGGATTGAATTCACCAGGATTCCGTATGGGCTCCAGTTCTAACCCCGGCAGCTCCACTTCCCAACCCTGCTTGTGACCTGGGAAAGCAGTTGAGGATGGTTCAAAGCTTTGGGACCCTGCCACCCATGTGGGAAACCTGGAAGAAGCTCCTGGCTCCTGGCTTTGGATTGGCTCAGCTCCAGCCATTCCATCTGCTTGGAGAGTGAACCACTGGACAGAAGATCTTCCTCTCTGTATATCTGACTTTCCAATATAAATAAATAAATCTTTAAAACAAAAAAGGTAAGTAAATAAATCTTAACATTTAAAAATTTTATGTTGATTTTTTAAAATCAGTTTATGGTTTTATTTTTTAATTTAAAGTTAAATGGACAAAACTGCAATCACTGATTCACTCCCCAAATAACGTGCAGCAGCTGGAAGCTGGGTCAAAGCAGGGGTCCATGAACTCAGTCTGGGTTTCCCACATGGAAGGCCCCAACTGCTTCCTTTCTGGGACAGTTAGTAAGAAGCCCTCACTGAAGCAGAGGAGCCAGGATTTGAACCAGGAACTATGACATGGGAAACAGGCCTCCCGAGTAGCATCTTAATAGATGTGCCAAAAGCCCATCCCAGATTTATCTTTTATTTGAGTTTCTTCATACACTACTCAGAGTACTCTCACATAGGGAATCACTGAATACCAGAATTAATGTACTAATTGGTGCAAAATTGGGGCATCCGTTGAGACTCCACAGGGCAGCATTCATTGGCTACTTTTATGAATGAAAAACATATGTGTGGCTCTCAGTTTTCTATAATTTACAGATTGTAAAATATTCCAGTGAAAGGCACAGATTCAGGTAACTCATCTGGAATGGCTCCATAACTTTTTCCTCTAGTTCAGTCCTCCAACATTTTTCTGAAAGCAAGGTCATGGGCAAAGAATCTTCATATAGGGAACTCAGTGTGAAAAGAGGGGATCTTAGGTTTGTGGAAAAGGAGGTATTTTATCATGTATTTCATTCTCTGTCCAGACAATTCTACATGGCTAGGAGTATGTTTCTGGAAACGGGAGGGATGGCTTTCGTCATGAGGAAGCAGGATGGGGGTTAGGGAAGAATGAATGGGCTCTCTTCCTGTAAAGTCACTTCTTTCATGCTGTCTGCTTTATTTTGTCTCTGTTAGAAAAGTCTTAATGTCTTTTCAACTCATCTCAGAGTGGGGACTGTGGAGGACATTAAGAGCCCTGTGTTTACTCTCAGTCCTGGAATTAAGGGGCATGCCCTGTCACCAGAGGCCACTGGGTCAGGCAAGGTAGTTAATGAAACCATGCCCCCTCACCATAGAACACCCTGGCGCAAACTTTGTTCCTGACCAGAAATTTTTCACAAGCCTCTTGGTTAGTTTATTAAGTGCTCTTTTCTTTGTTATCTTCTTGGTTTTTATCGTAAGCTTTAAATTTATGGAACAAGATGTGGTTTAATTAACTAATGGAGAAATATCATTACTATTTGCATTAATTTGAATCAACCTATTCGTGACTTTGTATCACTGCACTTCTAGGTCTTGTGTTACCAATTAAGTGTAGATTGATGAACTATGCTGATTCTGTGGCCTTGACATTTATCAGCTGTTCTGAATCCTGAGTAAATAAGAAGCTGGAGACTGCTGAACAAGGATTCGGAAATGTCAATTTTAAGATACCTTGCATTGGAAAGAAGCCGAAGTCTTGTTTCTCTGGTTCTCTTCTCCAAAGTAGTTGATGCTGAACATACTAAAGGGCTTAGTGTGTGAAAAAGTACAGACAGCTGAGTCAGGTAAATTACTATAGTAATCTTTGTGTCCCGTGGGATAACAACTCTGAAGTGGAAGGGTAGGCAGATAATGATCAGGAGTTTGCCTTTGCAATACACTGTTTTTAGTGGTTCCCTAAACAAGGTTAGAGTTGGGTTGCAGATGTACCGCTCCAGCTTCAGGGGCCAGAGAGCCAGTGTGAATGCCACAGCATCTGCATGTCTTCCAGACACTGCCCCACGTGGTACTGCACTCTAGTGTCTTTCTGAAGTCTCTGTGAGGGCGCTTTACATGTTCAGGGTTGAATGGATCGTTTTCTGAAGGCAAGACCTACAATGTAGCTTCCTCTCTGCTGAGCAGTGTGTGTTCGCAGTCCCAGAAGGCATCGTTCCAGTGCCTGTCTCAGGAATCTTGTAACTCTCAGGCTGAGTAGGAGAGAGGAGATTCCCTTAAATGTATCTTAAAAAGAGAAAAAGAATAAACCTTTTATCAAAAACTTACCCTTGTGGCTTTTCTAGTTAAATTGCATTTGCTAGTGGATGCTCTGCATTCTAAATGGCTTTGGCATTTGCAACCCATTTGGAATTACTGCCCATCTACATATGATTCCTTGTTTCTGTTTCACAGGTGGCTGACTGTTCTTGGGATGAAACAATAAAGATCTATGATCCTGCTTGTCTTGCTGCTCCTGCTTGAGATCTGCTGTGGTCAGAATCAGAGGTTGCCTGAAGACTGCGTAAAAGCAAATCAATGAACTCGGGACAACGCGGCTGTCATGCTTTGGCAAATGCCATTCAGATTTCAGCTTTTTCAGATTTACCCTGCAGTCTGTTCTGAGGCAGCTGACAAAGACTTTGGCTCATCTAGGCCTGGTATATAAGCCATATTTCTAAAAATCCTATGGAAAAATTGATATTATAATGTCTATTAAAATGTAACAAATGTTGTGAAATGGACTAAAGTATGAGAGATCAGTAGTATATATTGATAGTTACATATTTAATTCTTATGTCACTTTTGATGAAAAAAATATAAATCACTGCTGTTGAAATCAAAATAAACTACGTCTCTTGATAATTTATCACTCATGATATCCTCAATTAGATTGTTCCAGCATGTGTGTATTTGACTGCAGGACTACCTGTCCAGAGGTAGTTGTCAGAGCTGTAATCAACATGTCATGTGTTCATCTATTGAGCAGTTATCTGTTGGACATTTACTGTGTGCCTGGCAGACTCAGTTTCTCTCTAGGACTGGTGCCATGCTTTCAGAACATGAACTGCTCTGAGTTAAGAGCTTCCTTTAGTACACATTTTTGCATGCTGTGTTAGGTATTTGTTATGACACACTGTTTCCATTTTTCTGCTATGAGAAAATTTTAAAACTGTTTATTGAATAAAGTCTTAGGTCTTGCTAAAGCTTCCAGCTATTGTTGCTCTTGAAGCTAGTCTTAAGTAATGCCATAAGCTTCCTGGCTACCTCCTCGAGTCTCCTAGAAAAATCTCTAGATATACATGTATGTCTTAAAGAATTACTTATTTGAAAGGCAGAGTAATGGGAGGAATAGAGTAATGAGTAGAGAAGAGAGAAAAAAGAGCAAGACAGAGAGAAATATCTTTTCTCTCCCAAATATTCACTCCCCAAATAGCTGCAACAGTGCAACAGCTGGGGCTGAGCCAGACTGAATCCAGGAGCCAGGAACTAGTTCTGGGTCTCATAAGTGGGTGGCAGCATATCAAGTGCTTGAACTGCCCGCCAGCTGCTTTAGCAGGGGCCTAGATCAGCAGCAGTGTAGCTGGGACTCAAACCAGCTGTATGGGATGTGGGCATGCCAAGCAGCGGCGTAACTCATTGGACCACAGTGCTTGCTATATCTTTATATAATATTAAGACATGTTATAAATGATGAAAATGAGAATTCAATTTTAAGTTTTTGAAAATGTTGAAGAACGAAATATGCTTGTAATAGTGAAAATAAATGTCTGTTATATATATATATTTGTTCACTTCAGAAAAAAGTTTAAACTGTGTCTTTACAAAATTGAGACAGAATAAATTAAAAAAAAAAATAAAGTGGAGTAAAAAATGGACCTAAAAATATGAAGTTATACTGACTGGGCCAACAATTTGCAACTTAAGGTTTCCAGCTACAGACTCTGTCCCTGTGCCAGGAAGGCCTTATTGCTACATTGGCATATAGAAGGTACTTGATACATTTTGTTATAGAATAGGTAATCTCAGGGAAAGTAAAGCTCTTGCTGGTTCTTAGATCAGCAATAATTATTTTTGAAAGACCCCATAAAAGTGCACTGCTTAACATAAGTGGCTTGTAATATACACAGTGCTCAGCCAATCCTAAGAGTTGTCACCATTGTGGGTTTCATGGAGCTTTTGGGTTTTGTGTTTTTGTTGTTGTTTTTTATTTTGTTTTTTTTTTCTCTCTCTTCCTGTAAACAAATGGCATCACACTGAGATTTGATTAAAAAATGAGCAGTTTCAGGCTGGTGGTTCTTCAAATCCACATAGTTTACAGTCCATCCTTTAAAATACTCTGGGTCATATTTACAATGAAAATGAAGCAATGAGTTATTCTTCTCTTAGAGTGCAAGAGATTTTATCAACAAAACAGTCTACCATGTATCTTTTTAAAACCAAAACTTGTGATTTAAAAACTGACGTCTCCCTTAATTTCTATTTCAAGACTATGTCAAAGATGTTATAGATATTTAAAGCCCTGACTGTGTATGTATTTGAAAAGTAGATAAGGAGCTTGAGTCAAATGTTTAAAACGGCTTGGGCCAGGCCAGGCCAAAGCCAGCAACCCTGAACTCAATCCATGGCTCCTACATGGGTGACAGGGCCTCGAGTACTCCAGCCCTTGCCTGCTGCTCCCAGGGTGTGCACTAGTAGGAAGCTGAATTGAGACAGAGCTGGGACTTGAACCTAGGCAGTCTGATAAGAGGCAGACCTCCCAAGCAACTTCCTGTTATACCATGTCAGACCAATGCCCTGTAACTCAAGGCCTTAGAAATATGAGTGTAGTTGAGTGCTCATACTCAAGATAGTATTAAAAAACCAGAAGAAAGCAAGTTGGATTTTCTCCTGAAAGAAAATGCAGGTGTTTGAGTCCTTGGTAGCTCCCAAGCTAAACAACTTGAGAGGAAAAGTCATTCCTTCTAGGATGGCAAAAGCAGTGTTTGCTAGCTTCTGAGCCCTGCACTTTCATACTGTCTGCCTCCCCAGTGACAGAACACAGGAAACAGTGTGGGGAGGAAGAGAACAACTCCCAGACTCGGATCTGTCATCGGGGCACGGTGTTTCTTTATATATATAAAGCATATATATATATATGCTGTCCTCTTTGATCTTGGTCACATCCCTGCAAGGTAGCCCTCCCTGCTTTCCGGACAAGGAAGCTGGAGATCTCAGGAGTCATAATAGGCAGGAAGTACTGAAGCTAAAATGAAAGTCTGAAATGACTGAATCCAGCCGCTCACTGGTCCTGCTACATGGCCTGTTTTTCTTAGGAGTAACAGAAAAATTAGCCCATGGAGGAGAAGTCCAATGTGGAACTCCCAGGTAATGAGATCTTGGTTATTCCTGATAGCACTGACACAATTGCCTTTGCAAGTGCTAAGACACTGAACCTGGCTCTGGGTGCTGCTTCTAAGGGCCAGCCTGCCCCAGAAGAGCCGGGCTGGGATCCAGCTGTCCCTTCTGCATTTGGCCTTTCTGTACTGGATATCTTAGCAATAACAGTACTCTTCCAAAAATGAGCTCTCATGAATTTGTTATTTAACAGGCTTTTCCTTGGAAGTGCTAATCCACTGTCATTTACTTCTATGTACACTGAATACTCCCAAATCCGTTATCTCCTGCCTTGCCCACTCAGGTCTCCCACTAACCTCTACTCTCATTTTTTTCCAGGCAAACTCAGTGTTGCTCACTAAACTGGCTTCTCTTCCTTCCAGCGCCTTAGCATTTGTTGCCAATAAAGCATCTAGTTCAAAAGCTGGTGTAGGTCCTCAATGCCAGTTCTTACTATTCTCTGCCTTACACCTCTCCAGCCACACAAGTCAAATGAATCACTCAGTCCAACCACCCTACCTTGGGTCAGGCCACAACTAGCCTCTCCATGGACAGTTCCAGCAGCTTCTTAAGTGGTGTATCTGTTTCCAGTTCTGTACCCTCAGCCATCATCTTCAACACAGCTGCCAGAGGCGGATCTAAAGTATAATCGAATTACCTCAGTTTTGGAGTAAAACCTTTCTGTGCTTAGAGGGTTGCTCACAGGAAAAGGTTCAGCCTCACTGAGCTGACGACAGCAAGGCCCTCTGGACCAGTACCTGGGCACCTCTGCCCCAGCAACAACACTATGGAAATCAGGCAGCTTCCCATCCCCATCTTCCCTCACACTGGTCTGTGTCCCTGGGCTGTCTGCCTGTCCTTGACCTGGTAAATGTCATATGGGAAGACTAACGATATGGACGGCCTACTAAATCCACCATTTGCAAAGCTAAAAGAAAGAACACATAATGAAAGGATATGGTATGGTTGCAACACAGACAACAAATGGTTAATACCTACTCTAGATAACGTATTGCCAATAAACAGTCAAGCACATCACAAAAGCATGAAGGCACATGCTTGACTCCAGGGAGTTTGTTGAAGTTAAAGGAAAATGGAGATTAAAAATAACATTTTTAGTGCAAGAATTGTTCATGCATTTTTCATGACCTTGTTGATGAGCCTATATGCTTCTTCACAAAGGTTTAGCCAGATTATCTCATTGATCGCAAATGTGAGTTAAAATTACGTCTGTTTTGCTTATAAGTTTGGCAGACATGCAGATATTAGTAATATCTGATACTAATTAAAATGAGAGCAGTGTTAAGCAGCTTTTTGGTAGGCAGTTTAGCAATAAATCAAGATTTTAAGTTACTCTCTGACCTGACAGTTCTACTGGGATTCCCATGATACTTAAACATATTTAGGAATAAATGTCCAGAGATACTCACTGACATCATTATTAGATAAAATTTGAATGCCTGGCTGTAGGAGAAAAGTAGAAAATTAAAAGAACAAAGTGTCCAGAGGTGGAAGAATACCTTCATCAGCTCCCTCCATGTAACCCATCACCAAAAACTTACTGGTGCAAAACATCACATGTTGCCTTGGTTTCTGGAAGACATGAATTCAGCCGTATGGAGCTCAGCTGTTTCGGCTCAGGTTTTCTCACCAAGTGGTACTGAAACATGTAGGGCCACAGAAGGTTATTAGCAACCTCCAGTACCAGCCATGTGGGATGCTCTTGAAAGCCAATTAACTGAACCCTGACTCTTGACATCCTGACACCTAACAAGTCCCATAGCTTCTTGAAGTTAACCTTCAGATCTGCATGTTATTCCTTTAACCTTGCGGCACACATGGTATTGTGATCACCCCACACACCAGTACTCTTTAGGAACGTATCCAGTAGTAACTGGTTTTGTGGGAGATGGAGTTAAAAAAAAAATAGAATGCAAGAAAGGGGAGAAAGCGTGTTGTATTTCATGCCACCGTGGATTCAGGTATTAAAGCTAGTCGTGCCTAAATAGGAAGGGTAAGGCAGCTGAATCAGGCGGTCTTTTACCTAATGTTAGTATCACAAATGGAAGCAAGCATAATTGCTGGCAGAAATGAATCATCTCTCCAGACTAAGCTCTTTCTGATATGCGCTGAGCACAGCTTAAGGCAGCCATCCTTTAATTGCAATGGTCCCTAGAAGCAGAAACCTGTTATTTGCTGATGTCTTTAAAAAGGTAAATTTCACAGTTTGGGCTTCTGAGTATATTCTGAATATTATACGTACACTACACACATACACTTGAATTTGAATTATTGCTTCGGATTTTCCTTATTTCCTAAGGAAACAACATCACGCTTACAAAAGCAGAGCCCCTTGTATGGTCAGTGGAGTGTAATCATGACTTCAGGCAACAAAAACCCAAGAGCTTCCCAGGGAACCAGAAGCACGTGTTTACAATGTTGAGGCTGGCCAGTGTGCAATTCCTGGAAAGTTGCACAGTGGGCCACTCACAACACGTTTTCGTGAGTGATCACCCATCAGGATCTAGGAGCCAGGCGGCCCTGCTAGGCGCTGGGCCCAGGACCCTTGGGGAGGAGGCAAGACTGGGTTCTCCCTCCGCAGCATAAAACCTGGCCCCTACTGTAATGCTTTCCTCAGTGCAATCGCAACACGAAAACCCGGATTGAGGCGTCAGGGTCAGCACAGTTGGAAACAACATGCAGAAGACTGGGAAATAGGTGCTTCTATGCAAGGCAATGTGGCGCCTCGTCAAACACTAAGGCTGTCATCTCGGAGGCAGCCTCACGGACACGAAAAAGGGGTGGAGCGCGGCCACCTGGGACCCATCCCTAACACCCAAACTCCGGCCACGGCGCACATTTCAAGGAACGCGCAAAGCTCAACTCAGGCGCTTCGCCCTGACCTCAGTTGAGCGAACCCCTCACCAAAGCTCAGTGAACACGAGGTCGAGTTCTACTTCCCTGAAAACTGAATTCAGATAATTTAGTCCTGGGCACCCGCAAAACAAGCTCCATTTTTTTCTTGGCTGTAAGAAAACCACATGATTCCTCAGTCCTGCAGGGTGAAGGTGTGTCCTGGCTGGGGCAAGGCGGTGCCCACACACTCCAAGACTTTCTTGCAGGCTGCGACTTGGAGTCCTGGCAAGGGAGGGAACCCTCTCCATGGGTCCCTGGCCCCTCCGCGCGTCCCAGACTACCCTCACTTCCCGGCGCTTCTACCACCTCCCCCCGGGCTGGCGCTCTTTCCTCCGAAACTGAGAGCCACCGCTAGTCCCCCTGATTTGGTTTTTGCTCTTGGGCTTGCTGCACACCCTCGCCACACCTTCAAGGTGTGTGTCGCCCCAGGCTCCAGCGCCTGGCGAGGTCACCGCGCCGCAGGGGTTTCCCCAGCCAGGAGCGTCCCTGGCAGGTGCGCGGCCGTGAGTGCACTGCCGACACTGGAAGGGGCGGCCTCCCAACTGTAAAACACGCGCGACCCGGGCTTGGGGCCGTCGGTTCCTTCCCAGCGCAGCCCTTGACACTCGGGATCCGACGAGGAAGGCGCGTGGGCGGAAAAGCCGCAGCAGCGGCGGGGGCCCGGGACTGGGGGCACCGTCACTTGTTGCGACCAATAAACGGCGCTGGATTCCGGAGTGCTGCTGTTTCTAAAATCGGCCTCAGCTGTGCCGGGATTCCCCAGCCCGCCGCACCGGGCTCGGGCACCGCGGGAGGGCTGGGTTGCGCCCCTAGAGCTGGTGGGCGCAGGTGCTCTCGGGCCCGGCTGCCCTGCGTGCAGCATCTGCCCTGACGGCGACAGCGAGCGCGGGACGCAACCTACCTCGGCTTGTCTCCTACTCACACACCACGGTCGCCGGGATTCCCGCCACTCCTCCCAGACCGGCCCCCCACCCCACCCCCGCCACTTTTCGGAATCCCCCGCCCCCGCCACTGCCTCCGCCGCGCTGCGGGGTAGTCGGAGACGAAACCGCGAGCCGCGAGGAACGCCTGGCTGGAGCTGCCCCCTGCCGCCGAGCCGGGGTCCCCAGCCCACGGCCGCGGCGCCGGGCGGGCATCCCTGCCGCCCTCGCCGCGCTCCTCTCGGCTCCACTCGCTCAGGTCCCGGAGCTCGGCGGGCGCTGGGCGCGGCGGGGCCGGCGAGATGCGGCAGCTGTGCCGGGGCCGCGTGCTGGGCATCTCGGTGGCCATCGCGCACGGAGTCTTCTCTGGCTCCCTCAACATCCTGCTCAAGTTCCTCATCAGCCGCTACCAGTTCTCCTTCTTGACCCTGGTGCAGTGCTTGACCAGCTCCACGGCGGCGCTGAGCCTGGAGCTGCTGCGGCGCCTCGGGCTCATCGCCGTGCCCCCCTTCGGCCTGAGCCTGGCGCGCTCCTTCGCGGGGGTCGCGGTGCTCTCCACGCTGCAGTCGAGCCTCACGCTTTGGTCCCTGCGCGGTCTCAGCCTGCCCATGTACGTGGTCTTCAAGCGCTGCCTGCCCCTGGTCACCATGCTCATCGGCGTCCTGGTCCTCAGGAACGGCGTGCCCTCGCCGGGGGTGTTGGCGGCCGTGCTCATCACCACCTGCGGCGCGGCCCTGGCAGGTGAGCGGGGTCCGCGCCCTCCCTCCCCCAGCCCACCCCAACCACTCAGCCAGGCAGAGGGCGCGGGGGTCGCTTAGTCCCTCGCTTCCCGATGGGGAGACTGAGGCAGAGGAGCTGAGAGCATGTGGTGTGGCCTCTTGGCTGGCCAAGGGGACTTCTGAGACCCAGCGGAACCTCCTCCAAAAACCCGCAGCTCCCCGACCTGGCGTCAAGCTTCCGACCCTAGCCCTGCTTCCCTCTGCATATTTCTGCCCGCCGCCCACTCCCGGCCTTCCCTCTTCACCCCTTCCTCCCTGAGGGCCTGCAAGCCGGAGTCCACAAAGCCCGCCGACCCAGCCGGAAGGAGCGGGACCGTGAACTTCCTTGGGTCACGCGGGGTGGGCTGGGGAGGGCTGGGAGCGATGCCAGGGCGCCAGGGGGGCCAGGCTGGGATGTCTAGCTCAGGGACTGCGGGCGCGAGGCGAAAGGGGTGGGTCGGGACCCCGGGGTGGGCCGACCTGGCTGGGAGAGGGTTGGAGCAGGGGAATTACACCTGGAGGCTCTGGGAGGGGCAGGCGCTCTGCGTGCCCCGGACTTGGTTGGCTCGCTGGGGCCAGGATCCAGCCTAGCTAGTGCTCTTCTCCCTGGTGGAGCCCCTCAGGGCGGGCCGGGAAGGCACTGCCCTGGGAACAACGGCGCCCACTTTGAGGAGCCGGGTGACCACAGGGTGACCTCGGGGTAGGATAAGGAGGGGGCCTCTCCTTGTGCACTGCCTGGAGTTGACTGCTGTGTTTTGCCCGGGGAGCCGTAGCAGAACATCCGCTGACACTTGGGGAAATGGGTGGTTAGAGATGGACCGCGGCCCCACTGCCTTTGCCGCGCCGGCAGCTACCCACGCGCACCAACCCCGTGTCTTCTTTTTCTTTCCGGCTTGGGCCCCCGCTGTCCTCCCCGGGTGCGTGCTCCAGGAGCCGGCGACCTGACCGGCGACCCCATCGGGTACGTCACGGGCATACTGGCGGTGCTGGTGCACGCTGCCTACCTGGTTCTCATCCAGAAAGCAAGCGCTGACACGGAGCATGGACCACTCACTGCGCAGTACGTCATCGCCATCTCTGCCACCCCGCTACTGGTCATCTGCTCCTTCGCCAGCACAGATTCCATCCACGCCTGGTCCTTTCCAGGCTGGAAGGACCCGACCATGGTCTGCATCTTTGTGGCCTGCATCCTCATCGGCTGCGCCATGAATTTCACCACACTGCACTGCACCTACATCAACTCGGCCGTGACTACCAGCTTCGTGGGCGTGGTGAAGAGCATTGCCACCATCACGGTGGGCATGGTAGCCTTCAACGACGTGGAACCCACTTCTCTGTTCATTGCTGGAGTCGTGGTGAACACTCTGGGCTCCATCATTTATTGCGTGGCCAAATTCTTGGAAACCAGAAAGCAAAGCCACTATGAGGACTTGGAGGCACAGCCAGAGGGAGAGGAGGTGCAGCCAAGTGGAGACCAGCTGCCATTCGTTATGGAGGAGCTGTCAGGAGAGGGTGGAAATGGCGGGGCAGTAGGTGGCGAAGCAGCAGGTGGCTGCTTGCAGCAGGGTGGGCAAGGGGCAAGCGGCAGCCCCAGAGGGGTCCCACTGGTGACCAGGAGCAGGCAGACATCAGAGCTCTCTGAAGAAGGAAGCAAGAGGTCCCTGAAGGATGCTTATCTGGAGGTGTGGAGGTTAGTTAGGGGCACCAGGTATATGAAGAAAGACTATTTGATAGAAAACGAGGAGTTACCCAGCCCCTGATACGCTTGTTTTAACAGGTCGAGAGCAATCACATTGTAATGAGAGGCCTCCTGGCTGCTCTTTGAGAGGTGGGGAAGGGAAGCAAGTGAAATTAACAGCTGTGTGGTTTGTTCAAAGGCTGCTGGGCCTGAGGCCTTACAGAGAGAGGGGGTGGGGATGGGAAGGGATGTCCCTAAGTCAGGCAGTGGTTCTGGCTTCGGAGACTCCTGACCCATTTATTTATTATTTATTTATTTAGTTTGCCATTATAGCCGTAGCTGAGTATCTGCATGTACCAAGAGCCCATCAGCTGCCCTCTCCACAGACGGAGTGTAGGAATGACTGCTTCGAAGTCGAGGATGACGTCCCAGGCTGCAGGCTTTGAGGGCAGACCTACTGGTTGTACTGCCAGCTGGGCACAGATTATGCTGTTGAAATGACAAGTATAACTGTGCTGATGTTTACTACCTACAGTCATCTGAAATATTGTGTTTACTCTCACTTTCCTTCACTTGTTTTTCAGAGTAAGTGTTCTGTTAGCAAAATGTGGAAGCTATTTTGAAAAACGTGTTTTTAGCTTTCCTGAAGTTTGCTTTTAGTAGCTAGGAAAAAAAAAACATTTTAAAAGTTGTTCTGGGTTTGTTGCTTTATGCTATTTGTTGTTGAATGGTGTAACCTTTTACAAAAGCCAGTTTTACTGTGTAATATTCCTTCATGTAAATGCAAGAGCTGAACTATCATTCAATATTAACTGAAGCTCAGCTGGAAGAGTCCCCCCTATAAAGTAATCTTTCAAGTTGCACTGCGTGTCCCAATAATGTTACAAAAAGAGCAACTGCTATATTCACTTTATGATATTTTTCTATCTTAAATTTGTCAAAAATAAACTATGAGTCTGTTAACAGATGCCTTGTCAGAAAGTTGTGGCAGATGCTCTCTGCTGTCCTGCTGCTGTGGTGTGTGTGCCTGGGCCTTCACGGTGTGTGCGGCAATAGGCAGGGAGGTGCCAAGCCACTGGGAACATATTAAAAAAATGTATGGCAGCCTGGATTAAAATGACAGAGGAATAATCAGCATGTGTTTTCTTGCAAAGGGAGCGATCATAAAACAAACAAAAATTACCATCTCCTGCTCACATATGAAAGCCATACATATCAGATGCCAGTTCATGTGGAGTCAGGAGTGTGTAAGAGTCAAGGAGGGGAGGAACTGCCAGCCCCTGCCAGGACTGGCAGAGCGGGGGACCTCTCCTTTGCTTACGTGCTCTGGGAACTAGCATTTAACATCATCAGTGTGGTGAGTGAGGGTAATTGTGGCAAATTGCTGTTGATCCTGGTTCCTGGTTTTCCCACTTTCGGCCACTCCAGGCGGAGGAGCCCTCCTCTGGTTGCAGGTGGAAAGGTTGACCCAGATACGATGACTTTTGAAGACAAGCCTTCCTTTGGATGGCAGTGTGCTGGAAGGCAACGTTCTGGTGTGATTCCGTGAAGCTGAGAATCAAAGAAAAGCAACAGAGCTGTACACAGTGTGTAGTTCGGATTAACACTGCTGTCACTGTCAGAGAAGTGAATGAAGTAATTGTTTGACTGACAGAAGAGATTCCCCTCTGGTTCAAGGTGTGAGTTTGCACTTAGTGCAGGAAGATGAACTCTTTCCTGTCGACGCAGTTGTAGAGACCACTGTTGCGGCTCCCCAGACAAGCAGCAGCTGCACAGGAGAGGTGGGCAGGAACTTGTGACTGTGAGTCAGCAGGATTGAGATCCTGAGGGCAGGCTGTCAGGTGAGAAAGGCAAGGAGGGAGTTCCTGTTTCAGTCTGGAGTCGGAATTGCTCTTTTTCCTGGAGACTACAGTCATACGGCCTTCACCTGATTGAGTGAGCCCCACCTTGGTTACAGAGAGTCATCTGCATTATGAGTCCACACATGTCAAATGTTGATCACATGTCTAGGCCATCTTCACTTCAAAGTCTACATGGCCACTGGAGGACAACAGAGCACCACAGCCAGGCCAAATGGACATAAAGTTAGCCAGTATAGACACATACATGGGGAGGGAACAGGATTCCAGATAAGACAGGGCAGGCAGGTATGTGACAGGCTAAGAAAAAAAACAAGAAGATTAAAAGCTAAGTTCTCTCTCATTCTTTCCTTTGGGTAAAGCCAGAGTCTTTTCCTGAAACAAGAAACTCAGTCCCACTAGAGAGCAGACCATGAACCAGTGCTGAGGCTCGAAAGCAAAGGATACGAGCAGGTGGCCAGCCTGGTCCAACATGAGAAGTCCTCCTCCAATGGCAGTGGTGACTGTCTCCTAGCTCAGACCCACCCTGCCCTTTGGCCTCTGCCAGACCTGGCACCAGGCAGACAGAAGACCCCTAAGGAACTCCAGGAATCTTTGTGGGGGACAGTTGGAGGGGACTTTCATTGGAGGCTGCTTTTTTTGTGCCCCTATTTCAGACTGCTTACATGCTCTCTTTGTTCTAAGATGACACCTCCGTCTTGTACTGTGATGGGCCCCTGCCTTGATGATCTGTTCCTACATCCATTCTGCAGGATGCAGATCCCTGCCTTGTGCCCACCTGTGTTTTCTCGTCTGGAACAGGATTCTAAAACACAGCCCAATGTCAGAAAAACCTTCCTGTGCCATCTCCTTTGCTGCCCCGCTGACCGCTATCTAGTTCGTTATGACTAACTAAGGCATAGATTGATCAGAAGCTCCTGGTCCACACAGGCGGGCATGTGCGTGTTCCTGGGGGGTGCTGAGCAGAGCCAGGCAATAATGTAAGCTCCTAGAGAGCCAGCAGTTCTGCAAAAAGCAGTCACGCTCTATCAGGGCCTGGTTCTCCACAAGATTGATGACAATGCTTTGGGGGGACGCGTTTAGCCTAGCAGTTAAGACAACGCATCCCACACCAGAGATCCTAAGTTCCCATTTCTGCCTCGGCTCCTAAACTCAGCCTCCTGCTAGTGCAGACCTGAGAGGCAGTGACAGCTCATGTTATTAGGTTCCTGCCTGCCCAGTGGGAGATCCGGATTGGGTACCCAGTTTCTGGCTCCAGCCTCAGCCATTGTGGGCCCTGGGGGTGTGAGCCAGTGAAAGGAATTTAAAAAGTCAAAAGCTATGCAGTACTTATGAAGTTAAAAATGGGGCTTGAAAAGTCCTTAACTGATGGAAAATATTTTTTATTTCAATTCTGAAATCTGTGGATCCACCTTCAAGTACTTTCAAACAGATGCTGCCTGCTTAATTTTTTTCCAAAGCTTTATTGATTTTTACTTTAAGGGAAGATTTACAGAAAGGAGAACAGAGTAAAAAATCTTCCATCTGCTGGTTCACTCCCCAAATGGCCACAGCAGCAGAGTTGAGCAAGACCTGAAGCCAGGAGCCAGGAGCCAGGAGCCAGGAGCCAGGAGCCAGGAGGTTCTTCCAGGTCTCCCACATGGGTACAAGGGCCCAAGGACTTCAGTCATTCTCTACTGCCTTGCCAGATGATAAGCAGAATGCTGGATTGAAAGTGAAGGAGCTGACACATGAACCAGTGCCCAATATGGGACACTGGTACCTCAGGCAGAGGCTTAGTATACTATCTCACAGCATCAGCCCCTTACAACGATTACTCTCCCCTCTCCCCTGCCAGAGGGAAAGGGCAGCTTTTATAGTTCTTCACCACCTGTTGAGCTCCTGGAGGTTACACTCATGAAAATATGTGTGCCTCCTAAGACTGTGGCTCCTAGGACCCTCTCACTCTCACGACAGTCCATAATCAAGCTCCAGAAGTTTGCCCAAGGTGTTATTTCAATGTTTCTGCTAATTTATGGTTCCATTGGCTCTGTTCGAGGTGAGCAGCTGTCAGCTGTGACTTTTGGTATTCTCCTGACTCTCCAGCTTCAGGAACAGTGACATGGCCTGTCACCCAAGTTCTCTGATAGGTCCAGGAATTGTCATTGATTTTTTTTTTAGTTTGTTCTTGTTATTGTTAGGATGGACATAACAACTCTAAGTTCTTTTTACATGTTGGAGCTGCAGCCAGAAGTCCTCGGTGAAGATTTTTGCTTGATTCCTATAAAACTGAACATTGTAAGTTAGATATTCCTAAAGAGAGTGCCAGGAGAAGACAAGCTACTAGCCCTTCTGGCCTCCTCTGCTCTCTCATTTTGCATGTTAAGTGATGGTCATTCTTGCATTTGACCATAGTGACATATGAGTGTGGGTGACACTTTAGTTTAAGTGCACCGTGAGCAAATGTCGACGCATATTGATGCTGGTGTGCCATGGCAATTATTGTTAATATCAATTTTCCCTTTTATATCTTGGGTACTGTCCTTATCTATTGGCTTCTGGATTTTCTCTTAGCATGCTCCGACAACTTGCCGTGACACTTGTATTTTCATGTTAACCTTCCTGTGAGGATGCAGACCTGAGTCATTTGTTGCCTTGATCTCTCCAGTCCCTCTTAGCTCTGCCAGGCTCATGTTCATCACTGCATCTGCTCAAGCTGTGCCCCCTCCCTGCTTATTCCCTACCTTCTGCACCTTTATAGCCATAGCCAGGACTTCTCGTTCTGGCTGTTTTTCTCCCCACCTGCTTTCCCCTGCTCTTGAGGTTCAGTGGAGAGTCTGTGAGCAGAAAATCTCCGAATCTCAGCATAGCAGAACACTGGTAAGACAAGATCTCAAGATGGAATCCCAAGCCTTCCGCTCTGTATTCGTAAGATTCAGATAGTATTGTCTTCATTCCTACATCTCAGGATGTGGCCCCCAGCCAATCCAATCAGCATTTCCTTGGCTACTGAGCTTGGTTTGGGGTTGCTCATGGGATTTGGTCAGAGCCAGTGAAGAACAAACATGCTTTCAACTACTCCTTTAGCATTTTGGCATTTTTTTTTTCTTACTAGATTTCAAACTAGGACTTGGAGAAGAGTCAGCAGGTGTATTGTTGCTATCTTGCCAAAAGAAAAGGAACTAATACAAAGAAAACAACTGGAAGAACATCAGGAAGGGAGGAAAGGAGAAAGGAGAAAAAA